CAGACCAGAACAAGGATAATGCTATTTCTGTCTGGAAAAGCCAATATTAAATTACACTTTTAGAAGGGCAAATCAGGAGCAGACATGGATTGTTTATGAGAATCTTTGATACACTAGCAAACCTTCTGATATGTTCATGAGAGATGCAGACTTACTGTTTTCTTCATGCATTGTACATGGAACAGGAATTAAGTGTATAGGAATAATAGTTGTTGCAAAAGGTTCAAAGGAGAACAGTGATCAAAATGACTGAGAGAAGACTGGGCTATGTAACACCCAGCTGTATTGGGAGAAAGGGAAAATGAAATAAAAACCACTGAATTTAATAAATAATGCAGCTTTTAGATTATTATAATAAAATAACATTTTGTGATAATATAGACAAAATGGGACACAAATATTTTTATCTTTTATTCACTTTTTCCTGTGGGTTTGTTTGGGGTTTTTTTTGATAAATAGTATTATAGAATGTATGAACTGGTACTTAGTTGCCAAAAGCAGTAAGAGGCTCTTATTGGTAACATAGTAGACTAAATACGTATAAAGAAGTGCTGCTTTACCTGGGAAGCTAAGTGCACAATGCATTAGAGTGATGTAATCTTCACTAAATCTCCTTGCATGTAGTGACTTCCTTAGTTCCTGTATTATAAACTCTCATTTTTGCTACCTGTGCACTAGTACCCAATGTAGACCAGCCCTGGATATTGACTTGATTAATTTCTGCCACTGAAAATGCTTATGTGATTACCCTCTTCTTATGATGGAGGTAGTTGTACCCTATATAGTACAGTACCACTGTCATCTTCAGAGCTGTCTGAAGAGCTTTATATGAAGCTGTGGTTTTTAGGATTCCCAGACGGAAAGTCAGAAATCAGTTTTTCCCCTTTGTCTCACTTATTAACTTGCTGGGGTTTTGCCTTGAAATGTATCAGAGTACTACGGTGCAACTTCTGTCCTCTTCCCTTTTGTAAATCTCCAGAAATCCTGGGGTAATAAATAAGGGCATGGTAAATCGGAAACTGTTTGTTTGTGACCAAAGGTACTAAAGCCATCTGTCCTGGGAGGTGATGCATTGTAAACTCGGGTTCTCAGCAATGTTGTATCAACTTTATACAGTTCTGGTAGTGAGGGTTTCTAAAAGTTTTGTCTGCTTCCTGTGACAGGAGAGAGCTGTTCCCATGATCAAGGCCTTGCAACACTGTTAATTTTACATCAGCAGACTAATTTTAACTAATGGTATTATATTTTTTTCTGCTGAAAACGTTTCTATTTATGTTTCCACAAAGGATGCCATAAGAGATTCCAACTAGTTGTGCAAATTCTTTTAAACTTATTCCACATCTTTACTTTTAAGCTGTCTGTAGTGCTGGCTACACAGTGGTTCCAGTTAGACCTAAAAGATATTTTTAATGGAAGTGATTTAAAATCCTTTATAATTTACTGGAAAGTCCTCCTGTTGATCCTGGGTACTTCTTCTAAGCTACCTGAGTATTTGAGAAATACAGTGAACTTTGTCATATGTCATGTATGAGCCAGTGAATACTCTGTGTATCATCACTAGTACATTGGTATTTCCACTCACGCTCTGTAGATTAATTTATATAAATCATGTAAATAAGAACTATACACAAAAACTTATTTTTGAAAGTATGAAAAAATTAGAAAAATACTTTTAGTTAAATATCTTGGAACCACTGGGAACTGAATTTTGGGTATTCTAACAATACTCATGACTTCACATCATTTTCCCCACGGCCCTGAATATTTTTAGAGTAATTATTTTCTCAAAATAACTATAGTGCTTCAACAAAGGACCTAATCAAACAGTACATTCTTAATCATGGACTGTAGGAGAAAACATTGGAGGAAGAGAAGTATGAGTGGGAATATTTTTTGATCTTGAAAAGTATGGTTTTGTCCGTGCTGCCAGCCTGTATGCCAAGGATGAGCGGTGAATCAGTCTGGGGGGATCTCTGCAGTCCTACAGGAGTGCTCAGCTGACACCACCATGCCCTGCCACAGCACAGCTACCTGTTGTGTGCAGCACAACCCACGGGCTTGCTCAGCCAGAGCAGACGACTCCCCCGTTACACCAAGCAGCCTGGCTGCTTCCATTTCCCTTCTGCCACTGGTCTGTCTAGGGCTCTCCTGTGTGCCCATAGTGAACACACTCTGCAGATATATATAGGCAAATATTTTCCTGATCCTTTTGATGGAGTGAGTCAGGAGGGGCTTTCTGCTGCTGATGTCCAAAATCCTGTATCACTGGTCACATGTCTGCTGTGACCAAACAACTAGATGCTTGTAATAGAGAAAAGCAAAAAAGCATGCAGATTGTTCTTAATGAGAAAATATCAGCCTTACATATGCTGGTACAGAAGGCATTGCAGAATTAAAGATGAACTCTTGCATGACTGTAATTTTTTGAAGTTCATCAGGTCCATGATATTATTAACTTACAATTTGAACAGAAATATTAAGAACCTTATATTAAAATCCTCCGTCTTAAAAAGAACCAAAAAAACCAAAACCAACCTTTATTCTGTCATGCTAGAATTTAGTATTCTAGAGGAAAAATAATATATTTTTTTTCCATTAGGGAATTTATAGATTGTTTCAATGTTCTGAAGTTTATCCAGAAGATCTTATTTTAAATAATTCAATATTTCCCCAGTTGTATTAATTACAATTTAAATATTTTTAATACCAAAATTAGATGCAGCAGAAATAATCTTTTCTCACAAAAGTAGATTAAAAAGTTCCATATTTTTCTAACAAAATCTAATAATAGTGCTTTAGGTATGAATATTAATTTTATGTACAAATTCGAAGGCAGATTGTCAAAATATAATTAGAAAGCTCTGTGCAACAAATTAAATACACTTTAGTAGCATGGATGAAAAAAGCATCTGTTTTGAAGTACTTTCATTAGAAATTAGAAGACTCGAGTAGGGAAAATTAGATTTGTATGAGATGAAATCAGGAAAAAAATGTAAAAATGTTAGCTGCAAAGAACAGGAAAATACCTGTGGACCATGGACAAGCAAATTATCATCTAGAATTTATGTTGAATAATATAAATAAACTATAATCTTCAATTTCTAAAAGCCTTTATATATTTACTAAATAAACTTGAAGTCAGTATAGATAAATTATTCTTAAAACCTAATGAAACTTACTGATTTTAATAATTCCTTTCCTTTCCGCATTGCCCTCAGCTGGATGAATGCCTCTATGCCTTCAGCTCACTTTCCTTTTCAGGCTTCTGTAGTAGCACAGATTTTGAAGTATCTATGCTGTGAAATACATCCATATTCCAATGTACGCATTCCTAGTGTCAAGTGTGTTGATAGGTCCTGTTTATCTGCTGGCCTGGAAACGATGCTTGCCATTAGGATCTCAATAGGTATATGTTCATTTAACACTTTCTGGTTGGGGGGTTTTTTTGGAAGGTTGGGAGAGATATATATCGATATAGTCAACTATATACTGTCTTAAAGTAAGAAAAAAATTTTTTTAGCTTGTATTATCTTTCAGATTAGTAGTGGATGGCTGGAAAAAAAGCAGGCATTTCCAAATTCTGTTAGTTAAGGGTATGCTATTGTCTGGGAAGGTTAGAAGTGTAATATTTCATGAGATTTCCAGTGCTCACAGTCTTAGCTAAATTGCATAAATCACAAGGATTATTTTCCTTCAGTATTTCCTGTATTTTTACTTCAACTGATAGCTGCAAGCAATAATCAAAGAACTGGTTAATGACAGAATTTTTTTTTAAACATTTTTTGAAAGAACTCTGGTCTGGTAACTGAATGTAAGTTGAGAATTGCTCTTGTAATACTATATGGAAAACATGCCTACCATTTGTGATTTATCTTATCCTTCCAAACATATTTGACTCAACTCTGTTGAGTCACATGGCATATAAGTCAATGCACAACTTCTAAAGTCTCACAAATCTTCATGAAAATTAAATATTTTTGAAATTGCGTGATTCACAAATCCTGACAGCTTGAAGTATGTCAATGTATGTATATATATAAAATTTTGTATACATATATTCCAGAAGTGCAGAAATTTTTTTCCTAGTGTGAAAGTATAGTTGTTTTGACCTCTAATCAATGTTCAATCTGTATTCAGCTAAGACTGCTAAAGTATAATTTTACAAAAGATGTGAAATAGTAAGGCATTTTATTTAAGTTCATTTAAAAAAAAAAAAAAAAAAAAGAGGAAATAAGCCTAAACTTCTGTCATTTGTTCAACATGAACGTGCATTGCAAAAGTGTTGTTTTGAATTGATTTGGTTATTAATTCTACTTTTTTTTTCTTAAAAAAAAAAGGTTTAATTTCTTTTGGTTTTATTCTTAATCCTGAATCCAGTTTATATACTGGCAAGTAGCTTATGTTTATGTATTTCTCATTTGAGGGAAAAATACTGAAATCTTCACATGTATTAGTAATATTTCAATTTCACTTATACCAGTGTTAATTTAAGCAATATAACTGAGATCATACTTGGCCTAACGTCTGTATATGGGAGTTTTGCGGTCTGTTTTATCTGCTGTGTTTGCTTGAGTAGCCTCTCGTTTCAGCCAAAGGTAGGGAGATGAGAAGTTAGTAGCCGGGTGGCATGGGTGGGCTGATGGCTCCGGTTAGCAGCAGAGCTAACTAGCCAGCTTCTGTTTCAGAGAGCCAGGACAGAGAGGGAGAGAGAGCAGCTGGGTGAGGGACTGGTGTGCGCTGCGAACGCTCAGGGTGTGCACCAGCTTCCCCGTGTGATAAAAAGGGTGTTTGTATTTTGGGGGATGTCTGTGTTTTGCTTTTTCAAATGTAAAATTGTACGTGTTTATTGGGGCTGTTTCTGCTTTGAAGTCAAAGGACAAAAAGTGCCCCTGCTTCACTGCACTGCTCTGGTTATGACTTTATTTCTGTTTTGAGATAAAAATTGAGGTTTAGTTTGAGTGTTCCCAAACCAGATACCACTCTCTCTCTCTTTCTTGTAGGCAGGGTGCTGCTGTGCCAGGCAAACCAGGAGGGATCTCCCGTGTACAGTGCCCCCAGTTCACTAGTATACACATCCACAAGTAAGCTAGTGTTATGGCTCTTTTTTTGTTTTGTTTTGTGACAAAAGCACATTAATGTGAATTAAGCCCCCTAAAACTGAGATGTGTGTAAATGTGGTATTTATAAACTTGTGTAAGTAATGTCAACAGATAATTCAGTGGGTTTAGTTGCATCTTTATCCTCAAAATATTTGTTATTAAGAAAAAAAAAAAAAGAGACAGCCTATATTGCACTGTTCTACAGAAACGATCAGAAGTTCTCCAGTAACACTGAAATTTTTTGGAATCCAGTACTGTTGCGCACTCTGCATTTTGTGCAGAAGATGTAGTTGTGTTTCTTTTTCCTTCCTGGTCACAACTTTGATTTAATAACCAAAAAGTCTCATGTCATGCCACCGTTTCATTGTGTCAGGAAGAAAATAGATATGAAGTCTTCTTTTACAAAAGGAAAAAGACTGTGTGCAAATGGGTACTTTAAATTATAAAAAACTACCCTAATAAAAATAGCAAACACAAGCTGAAATGATAGATGCTGCCATCAGCCATTTTTCTGTACAAAATGTTGGAATAGAAATGTCTCCTGTAAAATTCTGCAGCAGAAGTGGAACCGATTCTTCTGAGAGTGTTCTAGATTGTATTGGCGGTACCGCTGATGCCCATTCTGAAATCTAGTCAGATGAAGAAGCCTCTAGCCAAATGAAACAGTAATAATTGCTGCTTGCTGAATTAGGGTGAACAGCAGCATTTGCTCTGTGTTCTTAGCAGTTCTCTGTAAAGAAATATTTTATGGTTTTGGATTTAACATTATTGGATATGCTCTTTATGAAGATTGTATTCAATCTAGAATGCAATTCTGCTCTTTCAAAGCTTATCTAGACTGCTAAGATAATTAATTTCTTTTATTAATTAAAACCAGGAATGAGGACAAAAGAGTTCCATAGTGATCATCTCTACAGTCATGTAACTCTCTTATGTCAAAATCTGTGAATATCATCCCTAGAGCTGCTGCGTTTACAGTATACATATGGGATCTACTTTCAAATCAGGCATCTACAAATACATAGAGCACTAACAAAATATATGAAGTATTTTAAATTGGAACTGAAATTATCAATTAAATCTGCATTTGCTTCCAGATGCTCCAGGAATATTCTGTACTATGTCACCTTTCCCAAGCAGTGTTTTTTAATCCTTGTAGGAACATGGAGATGAAATACTTACTGCCTAAATCAATGTTCCCTATAGTACATTTTTAGTGCACTATTTCTTTTTGACTGAAATACCAATCTTTGACTAAAATTCTTTTCCTAGAAAATTATCCAAACATTTCATTTATCTCACTGTTGGGCAGCTTCTTTTGGAGGAGACGGGGAGGTGTTTGGTTTTTTATTTTCTGGAAATTATGCTAAATAAAGCCTTTCTTAAGTTCACCCTGTTGCTCCTATTGTGTCACTGAGTTCTATCCTAGGAAATTTATTTCTGGGGTTGCTGTTTACATTGTACAGTATTTCCACTATTATTAAATCCCTAGGTAGTCATTGTATAGCTAGCTAAACTCTATACTTCACTGTTTCCATTATGTCTCATAAGTCAATCCCTTTGAAAAATCTTATTTTGCAGTGGTGCTCCTTGAATAATGGTATCCTAACAAACACCTGTTTGTTTTCAATTATGCCAAATACATAACTAAACAGACTTTGCCTATCTGCCTCCCACTGGGCAATGTGTAATACCCAGTTTCATAACAGAGATTGCTAGTAGCCCTTGCAGTAGAAATTATAACACTTTTGTTGAATCTGTGTGTCTGCAAGTCATGATTTTTCCAAAATGTAGTTTCCCCCACAGGGTCACAACTCCTAACAATATAAAATTACTACAATTACTAATGATTGTAATCAGTTTTTTCTTTCTCCTTATTACAAAACTTTCAATAAAGATGTAAAACAGTTCCATTTCTATAGGAAATTCTACTAAGAAGTGAATAGAAATGAAGCTTGAGTTTTGTCTCATTTTCTTTATTATTTTAAAGATCTTCTATACTCCATTTTTGATGCACATTTATAATATTGAAAAGATAACTGATAAGTCAACATTAACATGTAGGAGACTAATACTTTTGCTATTATCATTCCATGTAGACAACAATATTGCAGCCTTCATCTCTGAATAATTTGTTAATCATTTATTCTGTTACTGCCAGTATTGTAACCATGTAATATTTCAGAACAGCTTACAATGTAAGAATTAAGAGGTTTTAAATTTGTAATTGTTTTAACAGAACGGAAAGAGTCAGCTGAGATTTTTACAGCTGTCTGAGAGGCTTGGAGTTCATTAAATGCTAATGGCATTTAGGAATTTTCAGATATTTTGAAGAGGAGTCCCCATTTTTAGAAATGTTGTAGTCTTTAACTTGACTGGTCATATTTTGCTCCCAACTTATATTCTATAAGGAATGAAGGACTGAAACATGGTTGTAAAATATATTTTTCTTAATTTGGCTAGCTTTATTTCTCACTTAACCTTTTGACTTTTAATTGTGTTGGTCAATAGTAGTCTCTGATGACTCTGAACACTTTCACCCCATTGTTTTGGCTAGCCAGACAGAAGAGTGCATTTCTTGGAGCTACTCTTTCACCTTCTGATGTTTTATTTCCCCAGGATATATTTTATGTATCCCTTTCTACATTTCCCGGTACAGTGATTAGTTACACCTCTGAATATGTCAGGAGATGGCAACATGGCTCTGCTTCCTTCCATCACTTCTGGCCCTTCGCATAATACAGAAAGAAATGAGCTGTTTCTTCTGCAAGCAGTGGAACAAATCAGTAGCAATAGTCTCTCATGCCTCATCTGTTCTCTTATGCTGAAGGAGAAGATGGGACCTGGATCAGTTTTTCATTTGCACATCTATTCTGGGAACAGATAATTTGTTATGTAGAAAGCATACTTTCAGCATGCAAATGTGTTCCATTGGTGGGACAAATTTTGCTGTACTGACACAACCAAAGTAAGGAAGCTCATGGTCTCATCTTGGCTGCTGTAGATTCCCATAGCATTGGCATCTCAAAGATAGAACTAATACAACTGATTTCAGTTAAATCCATCATTGTTATCCTAGTGCAGAATGTAGACAAGTATTGGAAGGAGATATACCTAGTAAGTAAAGATTAGAGTACACCAAGTCCCAGCGAGTAAGTAAGCATTCATTGGAAGCTTCCCAGAGGCCCATGATATCTCACTGAAACGTAGTGAATCAAACATTTTGGCTACACGTAACTGACGGTCTCTTTTTGCCCCCACTTCTTTAGACTAGTTGCTTCCACAGGAAATTTTTAAATCCTGAAGAAATTTGTATCTACTTTTAAATAAGAAATGTTATCAAGAAAATTTTTGGAACTTTTCCAAATTGAAGCCACTCGAGAATAGGATCCATGGGAACATTAAGACCCTGCTGGACAAAAGGAAGATTCAAAAGAAGAAAAAAGTTCTGTCACTGAATATCTGTATCACTGTTCTACAAAGGACAGTAATATAGCTGGGTATGTATGGTTAAAAAAGGCAAAAATACTACTCTGAATTTGTGCAAGCACTTTTAAAAACTGTTTAGTGCCTATTTTACCCATTTTTCTATAATGTAGAAGTGCCTGAAAATGTAAATGAAATAGAAGTTAATGAGAGTCAAAACATGGGAAAGAAGGAAGACATGAAGTCATAGAATAATTCAGGTTGGAAGGACCAGGTTGCACAGGGCACCTTTAAGGACAGAGACTGCACAACCTTTCTGGGTCATCTGTTCCAATGCTTGAATGTCCTAACAGTGGAAACCTGTCTTCTTTCAAGTTATGTTTGTTGTCTCTTGTCTTCCCACTGTATGCCTCTGTGAACAGCCTGGCTCCGTTTTCTTGATCACCTCCCCTGCCCTTTCATGGCAGGGGATGGAAAGGAGATGCGCCTGCCAGTAGAAAACTTCTTTGTGCTCCGGAATAGCTAATCAACGTTCTTGGGCTCACTAAGCTCTAGCTGGTGTAGCGAGGAAGCCAGCCTAAGGCTGTGCATCACATTTTTCAAAAATTTACAGTTGTGCATACCCAGGTCCCATGGAAGGCAATGGCAGAGAGATTACAAATTTTAATAAAAGTTCAAAGGCAGCTAAATATATTTCACTCTGTAAATCAGTACTTTGATCTTTGTAACTTTTAGGCTTTATTTTAGCTCCAAGTGAAAATAAAGGTTCTTGAGTTATCAGGTATGTAACTACTAGTAGATTTTTTCTGAGCGTGTATTAAAGGGACAGTTCACTGGACTGAATAGCTAACGTATACGGTAAAACATTAAATTGCTACGTGTCTTTGTTCAGAACGATGCGCAGATGAGTGCCTATATTTCCCAAATGTTTTGCATGCCCATAAAAGAGAATTTTACCTTGACTTCAATGAGTACATTTTAAGCTCATGTCAATTTTGGCTTACATTTTCTAAATGTTAGAGTTGTTTCATCTGCAGTAAGCATGCTTACCAGCTCCAAAATATACATGGTCTTTTTCTATAAATTTTCATTTTTTATTAAAAAGAAATAAATCTTTTACATTGCAAGAAAGTAATAGAATTAAAAGAAGGAAAAATATGAAAATGCAGAAATCAGATATTAATTTATTTTATTTTATCATACTCAAGGGCAAATCAAGTTGATGGCCCATTTTTTAATTGATATATTGATTACAATTTTGTAAGAAGTGATGGTGGTATTCAGCAAAAATGATTGAGGTGGTACAAATGCTTATAAATCTGTCCCACATTGTTCGTGTTCTTTAATTGTAATTGTCTGATAAAACTTCCATCAGTTTCTGTAATTAACCTAATGGTCTAAATGAATTTCCAGATCACTGGTTATTCATTTCAATATAGAAAATGCCATTACATTGAGTTTAATTAATACAAAGTAAGTTCACAGTCCATCGTATCATTAGGATAGAATTTTACTGTTTTAACTGTTTCAATTATTAATTTTTTTTTCCTCTCATT